TACATACATACATACATACATACATACATACATACATACATACATACATACATACATACATACATACATACATACATACATACATACATACATACATACATACATACATACATGTAAGCAAGCCCCAAAATATTAGAGAAACACTAATTCTACTTGTCGGGACAGTGATAGTCCTGTAACCTTCACTATGTACAGGAATTTAAGTGGGACTTCTTAACAAATAGTCCAGAAAAACAAACAAAGCCATCTGATCCTTATGTAGTATAAAAGATAGGTCAGGCAACACCTTTATTAGACACCTTTAAAAAAAAAGCTAGCTTTCAACTTATATTACTCTTCATCAGGCTGTGTATGACTATATTGTGGATGATGCAGGGGAAAAAACAGACGAGTTTCCAAAGTCGTGGCAGAGGTCTGTTCTTAAAAGTGAAATGTAAGCTCTGAGCAGACATCGGAAGTGTAGGTTTCAAATTCCAGCCCAGTGGCCCTTAGCTGGATTCTCTCCAAACTCCCTTTGTTTGAAACCTACACTCCTGACTTGTGGTTGCAGTCTGCATTTTGGAACTCACTTTTAAGAAATGGACCTAACATGGACATCCGTCATGACTTTTGGAACTTCCATTTGTTTTGCTGTGTCATCCAGGACATATAGGTGCACAGCCTGATGAAGACCAGTGTAAGCCGAAAGCTAGGATCTGCATTTTTAAGGGTTGTTATGTGCTTTCAAATTGGAACTGACTTGTAGCGACTTTCTAATAGGGCTTTCAAGGTGAGATACTGCATATAAGGAGTGGTTGTACCACTTCCACACCCTCAATGAGTTTCAGTGGCTGACTGGAGATTTGAACCCAGACCTCCTGAGTCCTAGCCCATTACTCTGTCCACTACACCGGGTGTAGCTCAGTGGTTTAGGTATTTAGCTGCAGAACAAGAAACTAGGATTTTCAATTCCCACTGTGCCTCCCAGGAGGAGCCAGCCTGCGTGGCCTTGGGCAAGCTGCACCGTCCCAGGGTGCCCACAGAAGAAGGGAATGGTGAACCACTTCTGAGTATTCTCTGCCTGGAAAATCCTGAAAAGTCAGTATTGACTGGAAGCCACATGATTATTTTTTAATAAAGGCAATCACTTGTCCTTGCTTTAGTATTGATGCTAAATGTCACAGTGGGAAGTGCTGTTCTTAAGGCTTCCAAACATGCCTCCTATTCAGATGCTTTGTTCTATTCCTCCCCTCCCTCCTTCTGTACCCACTCTGCATGCTTCTGCAAAGACTGGGGTTTCTTCTTCTGCCTCCCTTTTCTGCATGAATAGCGCTCTTTAGGCTGTGTAAGGATAATGATGTTCCCTCTACAGGAACAGAGATACACATTGTCTATGTAAGTGCTACCGAGGAAATGAATTCCTAGGTAAGTGTTGACCACACCCTACACCCTTGCATTACTTAGGCAGTTATCTTCTAGGTATTCTTCCAGCCCCTCAGGTGAAGTCTTTCTTTAAAAAACACTATACTGTAGCTATTTTTATGGGATATCACCTTGAAATTGAACTACTGTCTTTTCTTTTAATATTTTTTCAACACTCCGGAATATATATGGCACACTCTTTTCATAACACATCTTAGCAGGCAGTTCACAGCCACATGTAGATGGAAGTATGAAGCAACAGCTGACCATGTACATCTGAATTGTACATTTTTTGGATCTAATACTTGGAATATGAACATTGAGCTGTAATGTTGCACTTCAGCAAAGGACAGACAAAAGACCTGTGAAATAAGTCAAAGCAACCAATTGTAAGTTAGCGTTTGAGGTTTTTGCCACTTGCCAAGAAAATACAGTGGTACCTCGTTTGACGTTAATTCGTTCCAGTGAAATCAAAGTAGAGCGAAATCATCGTCAAACGAAATAAAAAACCCATTGAAATGCATTAAAAACCAGTTAATGCGTTCCAATGGGCGAAATACCTAATTGTCCAGTGAAGATCCTCCATAGGGCGGCCATTTTCTGGTGCCTGTAGAGTGAAAACTCAATCCTAAAAATGGTGGGGGGCCATTTTGAAACCCAATGATCAGCTGTTGGAAAATCGCTGTAAAGCGGAAAATCGGTTCCCGAAGCAGGGAACCGATTGTCACTAAGCGAAAAAAAAACCATTCAAACATCATTTTGGGATTGCAAAACGTTGTGAAGTGGATTCGTCGTTATATGGGGTAATTGTTAAGCGGGGCACCACTGTACATAATATAGCTGCCAACTTCATACAGTTTTCTGTGGAGCAAATGGATTCTTTACAGTAGGACCTGGATTGCAAAACGTTGTGAAGTGGATTCGTCGTTATATGGGGTAATTGTTAAGCGGGGCACCACTGTACATAATATAGCTGCCAACTTCATACAGTTTTCTGTGGAGCAAATGGATTCTTTACAGTAGGACCTTCATATCCATTGGGAGGGATCAGTTCCAAACCCCAACACCCCCCATGTTGAAAAACAGCAAAAGCAATTGCAATATAAGTGACTGCTATACACAGCATGGTCTCTGGCTCCCTCTAGTGGCCAGTTCTGGTAATGACATAGGAATACTGTACTTTTCTAGTTAAAAACTATACATAGTGTGGTGTCTGGCTCCCCCTAGTAGCCAGTTCTGATAACTTCATTATTAATACATATTTTGGAGAGTTTTAATATTTTCAGACTGTGAATAGATTAATCAGTGGATCCTGATCCCACAGATAAGGGTATACTACTGTACCTGCATTGTCAAGCTCGCTGCTTTAGTTGGAAAAAGGGACGAAGCTAGTGTAACAGGCACTGACTGAAGTCCACTAAGTTAAATATTATGGACAATACTTGATTTTTCAAATATTCACAACTAGTTTGACCTTGATAATGGCTGTTGGCTTAGGGGTAGTGTAACATGGAAATATACCTCATTACATAAATGATTGCAATATCCCCCCAAATATAGAGACATTAAGATATATATATATGCCATTTTCAAATTGCTACACTGGTAACACAAATGGATCTTAATGTCTCTGCTGAAATCTTGTAAGTGAATTATGATTTGATTGGCAGCCAGCCTCCTCTCACAGCAGTGTACACTCCTGGTGTGGCTTTCCTTGTTTTTCAGTAAAAATAAAAAAGAAGCACTCTTGATTGCCACTACTACTCTGGAGCCGAGAGGGGCTTATGTACATATTACTATGGTCATTTTTTTATTCTATTAAAATTCACTTTTAACACATCTACTCTTGGTGCTGGTGACTGTTCTTGAACAGCTTCATTGGATGTATGTGGTTCTGTAACTGGACTGGTCTCTTCTAAGCACAGAGACAGCTTAAAGATTTTTAAATTCGTAACAGGAGAGCCATGGGTATCATGCCTCGGGTACTTTCACAAAACATTTGCGGCCCTTTCTTAAGCAGTGGGTTTCCATGGCTTAACTGGCCAGAGAGGAGCATGGGCTCAAGTCCCACATGCCAAGTGTCAGCCAACACTTACAGCTTTGTGGGAGACATGAGCGCTCCATTGCATATTCCTTACAAGGACAAAATCAGGATATGGATCCTGGCTACCTTTATCTTTGAGAGCAAGATTAGGAAAAGCCTGTGTTAATGCCAGCTGTAATTGTTGAATACAAAACAAAGGTGCATAGGACATCGGTTATGTAAGTGGCTGCAAATTCATTTTAGAGGCTTTCCGCCCATTTCATCATCATGGCTTCTCAGAGCATTTGCTGGTATACCGTGCCTGCCCTTTTAATTATCCAGAGATGTGGGAGGTTACCAAGAGTGTGCTGTTGTTTACTGGCTTGATATTTGTACACTGGCGACACCCCCAAGTGGTACTAATGCAAAAAAACCTGTCCCAGGTATTTAGCAGAAAGGAGTCATTTCCCCTTTATGAAATGACTACACCAAAAGCCAAAGGTACAGCTAAGTTGTACCTACCCTGCCTCCTAACCAGAGAATGTGAAATGCAGAGATCCAATTATTTACACATAGAGTTCTATCTGCGAAAGGAGGAAAGAAGGAAAGAAAAGGGATTTTGTTTTTGTTTTACTCAAGGAAACATGAACAGTCCCCAGGTGCAGTTCATTAAACAGTTCTGTTCAGGCATGAACGGTGTATATATACTTTTTGTATATATACTTTTTGCATTTGATTCCTTTGATGCTTGTCATTGGTGGGCTACGCATGAACGGTGCATATATACTTTTTGTATATATACACTTTTTGCATTTGCTTCCTTTGATGCTTGTCATTGGTGGGCTACAGACCATCAGGAATGTACATCTTGAATCAGTAGCCAGGAACTAAGAGCATGGTTTTTAAAAAGTCTAAGCTGACGGCTTCTTTGATTATGATGCTCCTTGAAGCATTTGCTCTTTCTTTCGGGCGTCGCAGAAGAACTGGAGCTTCCTCGGTAACAGCCTCACCTCCACTGGCATTGCTTCGTACTCCTCGCTGTCAATAGACAAAAAGCCTTCTGTACCCTATGGAGAAAACAAGGTTTACAAGAAATGGAAGACTAAAGGGACGTGCTTCCCGAAGCTACTGTCTGTCTCAGCAGCTGTCTTCCCTGTGACTGCAGGATGCTAGAATATGCCATTAAAGAGCTGCCGTATGTGCCTGTGCTGAGAGACACCCCTGGTCAGGAATCCACTTTACTGCACCCATCTGGTCTACTAAGGATTCACCGAGGTAGTACTAGTTTGCCTGCACTTGCCACTGTCTCTGTGGAGTGTGCCTGAGGTACTTACGTGCATGAATCTGTAATAACGTGCTGTTTGAAGCCATTGGCTTAAACACCTACTGATAGGTTTAGCCAAATGTGGGACATCACCTTCTACGTATCTATATGGGAAGGAATCTCTACTTAATAGCTAAACATACCTTCTGTCTATACGGGAAGGAATCTCTACTTAATAGCTAAACAGCTTCACCGATTCCCAGTTTAAAGTGTCTGACTAGCACCATCCTGCCCACATTCTGTACAGCCTTTTTCTGAAGTTCTCCATACTTGAGGAGTTGGCTCAAGGGCAGACCTGATTGAGCGTCAGCTTTGCCTTTGCTCCTATGTGGCTGTTGTGCAGGCATGCTTAAACCACCTTGATAAATTCTGAGGTGGTGGTAGATTGAAAACACTCTTTATGCAAATGCAGTTTGGTCCTCAGTACTCAGCTCTGCCCAAAATGGCTTGGAGTAAGGCATTATGGGAACCATAACATCTAAGATGCTGAAGGTTCCCCGCCTTTGACTGACTTCAACAATACCCAAGTCTTATCTGTTCACCCTCTTTACAGCAAAGGAAGTTTGCTTAATTCTCTAGAAGGAACACTACTTCAGTAAGATGTGGCACTTTATGGAGCCACAGATAACCATCTCCCACAAAATGGCTTGGAGTAAGGCATTATGGGAACCATAACATCTAAGATGCTGAAGGTTCCCCGCCTTTGACTGACTTCAACAATACCCAAGTCTTATCTGTTCACCCTCTTTACAGCAAAGGAAGTTTGCTTAATTCTCTAGAAGGAACACTACTTCAGTAAGATGTGGCACTTTATGGAGCCACAGATAACCATCTCCCACTTTCAAACAGAATTCTCTGGAAGGAACACTACCTCAGTAAGATGTGGCACTTATGGAGCCACAGATAACCATCTCCCACTTTCAAACAGTCTACCTAGGCTATCCTGTGAAGCCGTTTGACCACTATATCTTTGCTTCAAGACTGCATCTCCTCCTCCTTCTAGATATATAAGAAGGTTTACAGATGCATTTTGTGTCTACACTGACACAGAACCTCATGGTTTATTTATTTATTTGATTTATATCCCACCCATCTGGTCTATACAACCACTCTCGGCAGTTGGACTTTCTGTACTGTAAACTAATGTAGATTAACCAATACAAAACAGATAGAGCTTTTTTCTGAAGCTGCTTCTAGCAGATACCCCCTACACTGATAAGAAAACAGATATATATATTTTCCATTATGTGTTGCAGCACAAAACAACCTGATCACCGCATTTCAGCAAATGACAAACAGCAGAAGCAGCACACAAATGACGGTCACGCAAGACACACAGCTCTTATGCTTCACAAAACTTTCTGTGTAAGGTAACTGACAATACTTGACAAAGCCAACAGACCCAAGGGTGTCAATTGCTATTGATTAGAGACGGGCATGAACTGGGCACTTTGGTGGTCTGGCCCAGTTTGGCGTGACGCTCGCACAGGTGTTCTGTGAGCACCACATGCTTCTCTTCCCCACCTCCTCTGTGCACTCACCCACTCACCAGCTGCAGTGCACTTCTTTCCTCTGCCTTCTCTGCATGATTGTCCACCTAGAGGAGGTAGTGGGGCAGGGATGCCTGCGGGATGCTGGTAGGTGGATAATTGCACAGAGAAGGCAGAGGAAGGGACAGCACTGCAGCTGGTGAATGGGCAAGTGTACAGAGGAGGCAGGAGAGGGAAGCATGCTGCAGCCAGCAAGTAGGCAAGCATGAGGAGGAGGAGGAGGAGGTGGAGAGGGACGTGCACAGTACCCATGGAACGCTGTGTGGGCAGTTCATGCCTTTCTCTACTACTGATCTTGGTAACATAAGGCTAAAGATGGCACATATTCAGGTGTGCCCATTCACCCATCCTGGTCTTTTACTTGTTCCACTTCTTTGCACTGAACAGGGCTTGCCATGTTCTGAGGAAAGCCAGTTATCTTTCTCAACATGGCAGGAACTGGGGGTTACAGAAAAAGAAAGAGTAAACAGATAAGCTCACCACAGAATTCTATTTCTCACCTCTGGAAGTTGCAGCATACACTGGCTTGCCTGGAGACACTGGCTTCCTTCTGGGCACAGGTGGGGGTCCTGCATTTTTTGATGTCTGTTCAAAAATGAGGATGATTACAGGGTAAACATTTCTGAGCCACGCTTAAGCCCAGAGGCCAACAGCCAAGGAGGATATGAAATGAGTTTTTCCCTTGTCTCATGGAAAAACTTTCATGTCGGGTCAGATGCAAGTTTCAAATCTTGCAGGAGCAGCTGGAGAAAAACTTAAGAAGTGGATGCCATTTCTGTGCCATTCCTCTGTTTTCTAGCTAAGCTAGCCACATATGGAGGGCTATAATCCCTCCTGCATTAACAGGTAAGCCCACAGGCAGCCGGGGTTAACTGTAGCTTTGGCAAACATTTTCCTGATGAGCCTTGAGTGACAGCCCTTTCAGATGCAAAGGGGATGGGAGGTGGATAGAAAACATAACAAAGAGAGAGACTGGCCGACTCCCTGTCACCTAGGGAGGCAGGGTTGGAGCCAATCCATACAACCACTGCAGGGCTCAGCTGCTGAATTGTTTCACCAGATGTCAAAATGTGTGCTGAAGGCATTAATGCGAGAGGGATGCTTCTCAATGAAATCTATCAACACGGCTCACACATACAGGCAGTTAAGCCGAAACAGGAATTGAATTGGGACTTTGAAGTTTAACTGATGGTGAACATGGCTGGATTCTGTGTGTTTTTGTCGAAGCAAACAGACTTGCATCTCAAGGCTGATAGACCAGGACGCACCATCTGTCATTCTAATAGTCTGAAGATCTTGCTGTGTTCTCCACATCTGATCATCACAGTTTGATTAAACTTTTTTTGGACAGGAGCTTTGCTTATCTTATATGTCTATGCCTGATATATTTAAAATCTGTGTGTTTCTGCCTATCTTTTCCTTTTCCTTTTGTTTTTCTTTATCCAGCCCCACCACCACCTGAAGTGGTAGGTACTTGCAATAAAAACAATTATTTTTTAAACAAAGCTAAGAGTGGAGAAAGCACCACCACCTGAAGTGGTAGCTACTTGCAATAAAAACAATTATTTTTTTTAAACAAAGCTAAGAGTGGAGAAAGAGAATTCACATTAAAGAGAGATTTAAACAACCACCTGGCAGATATCCTTTGATTTGTATTCCTGCACTGAGCAAGGGGTTGGACTTGATGACCCTATAGGTCCTTCCAATTTCATTCTTCTATTTAAAAACAGGTGGGTTGAAGCGACACAAACAAAGTACCATAATAAAAATGTAGTATCCTAAATAATTTCAAATATCTGTTGAATTTTTATGTATGTTAATTTTCAAGACAGTTAGATAATAAAATAAGGTATCATTAAGTAGGAGATCTAACATATGGGTGATGGGGAAAAGCAAGCCTTGTGATAAATCCAAAATGTTGGGTTTCCATATGACTATCTAAATGACTTGACTTGATGAATCCTTATATTAAAAAGAAATCAATAATAAAGCAGTAGATATGTAAAGCTGCAAAATTTATACTGCAGCTAAAAAAGTCATACTCATTTTTTTCCTTCCCTGGAGGTCAATATAAATGTTGTGACTTCCGTTCACATCTGACTGCAGTTGCCTCTTTTGCCACAAATGCACAAGTCAGAAAACAACCAAACACTGGCTTTTCGTCTTGACAATGTATTTCAGGGAGATATTTATTTATTTATTTATTTGATTTTGACTGCAGTTGCAAGCCTCTTTTGCCACAAATACACAAGTCAGATAACAATCAAACACTGGCTTTTCGTCTTGACAATATATTTCAGGGAGATATACAGTTACCTGGTTTAGAGGACTGTCCTGAAGCTTCATAAACCAGGGCTTTAGGAAGCCCTGAGCAACTGGACTCCGACTGAGTGCCTTCCGAAGCAACATATCCCCTTTCCTGCTTTATTCTCAGTATGCGCTAAGACACATTTCCTTGATGTGCCCAGGGTGGGAACCTCTGGATTTATATAAGGATTTTTGTGCTAAGCATTCTTTTGTATGCTCTGTGGCAGGTGAAGTAAGCATTAGCTGAGAAAGATCCTCAAGGAAACGTTGCCAAGAGAGAAAAGTGGTGTCCAATGTTCTTTCATTTTCTACCCTGCATGTGGGCTGATGACAATGCCTCCCCCTCCCCAAAACGTGGGGTTCTGTCAAAGCCAGGAACCAAAGGAGTTGAAAGTGATCACCGTGGGTGTACAGAGGAGGGCAGACTCGTGCACACGTGAGAGGAAACCTTGGTGGTGTCAGAAGTTGAAACAACCAAGTAAAACAGGCATTATCAAGCTATCCATCAAGAGCAGGCAAATAATTTACAGTTTTAGAGAATGTCATTATCTGGGTATGCACAACAGAGGAGAAAGTAGAAATATATTACCTGGGTAATAGCCAAATAGCACGAAAGGGAACCAAAGATACAGATGGTTGATTTCAATAAAAGAATCAAATGCAACAGTGCAAAAAGAAAGTTATGAGCTGAATGGAGCAGAGAAAAACTATGGCTGATTCAAGGACTTGATTTATAAAACTCAGTATCTTGACATATATCCTAAATTAAAATGCATTCTAACTACCTTGAGCCACCCCAGTCCCTTTAATACTTAGTACTGCACCCAAGATTTTAGTCCAACAAAACTAATTACTGAACCAGTCTGGTTTCTCCGCCAGAAGGAAGAACTCTTGACTGCTCAAAGGGCTCTCCAAAACAAATGGAGCAATTCCAGTATTTCCCAGGATGATTGATTGACTTTACAGGGTGAGGCATAAGAAAGCAAAGAGGCAATGTGGCTTACAAGAAGACCAAATTCAAATGCTTACACATGCAAGAATTTTACTGGGTAATCTGGGTCTCTCATTCTTTGACAGCCTTAACTAGCTCTCAAAGCATCTGCAACAAAACCATGTGAGCCTTCCTGAGTTCTGTGGAGAGAGAGCAATAACAACAAAAATTGTAACGAAGGCTTTTATACTGTATGGAGAGAGAAATGCCTGGTGTTCAAGCTGGATTCTGGAAAGGAAGAAGCACTCAAGATCTTGTTGCAAATATATACTGGCTACTGGAGTGCGGCACAGAATTTCAGGAAATCTGTGTATACTTTATAGACTAAAGCAAAACCTCTGACTGTGTGGATCATGAGAAATTATGGGTTGTTCTGAAAGAAACAGGTGTCCTCAGCACTTGGCTGTCTTGATGTTTAACTTGTATTGTGGACAATACAAGTTAGGACAAAATATAGAGGGACAGAATGGTTTTACTTTAGGCAAAGGTGTCAGACAAGGGTGCATTTTATCCCCTTATCTGTTAAATCTGTATGCAGAACATACAGAGACTGCAGCCAAGAAATCAGAGGATGACTGAGACTAAGAAGGTAAAATGAGTACCCAGCTCACTGGGGGTGGGTGTGAGGGAAGCAATGTGTAGCCTGCATAATTGACTTGTAACAACCCAGAAAGTACTGTAAGCGCTATGGGGTGGAATATAAGCAGCACACTTTTTGATTTGCTTTAGGAAGGGCAGTAATTAATGATTTATAAAATATAATCAAGTGTAAGGATGTGTCATGTAGGCAAAGACTGCAATCATTCACACTATGTTATTTTCAGTCACCATCTACAGGTGTGAAAGCACAACAGTGAAGAAAGCTGACAAGGGGGGGAAATGACATGTTTGAAATACGGTGCTGGAGAAGAGCTCTGTGGACTGCCAGAAAGAAAAACAATTGAGTCCTAAAGCGGATCAAGTCTGAACTTTCTCTTGAAGCAAAACTGGCTAGATGGAGGATGTCCTCCTTTGGGCACATAATGAGAAGGCAAGACTCACTGGAAAAGATAATAATGCTAGGAAAAGTTGAGAGCCACAGGAAAAGAGGAAGACAAACTATCCAAATATGAGATGGACTGATTCCATAAAGGAAGTCACAAGCATAAGTTTGCAAGAGCTCAGCAGGGCTGTTGAGGACAAGACATTTTGGAGGCTACTCATTTTTTTTGGATGTTTGTCCAGAATTTTGCTGCACCGTCCATGAAGGAGGTGTCCTTAGCCTGAGGAAGTGGATTTCATCCACAAAAGCTTGCTATTTGATTGATTATAAGTGGTCCCAGAAAAAGTATCTCCCACTCTTGCATTTGTGTAATCTTGGGAATCACATGGCTTTTTCCTTGTTTATTCATAGAGCAGTCATAAGTTGGACTTGATGGTACGTAACAACAACATACCTATGAATACATAAGTAGCATGTGAATAGTCACTTCTTGTTTCATTAGAAAAGCAGTTCTAACACTGCATCATGCAACAGGAGAGAGCTGCTAGGTTATTACCAAAACAGAGTGACACAACACTTCTACACACTATCACAAGCATGTCTTTTGTCACTTGAGGGACATCTGTCCAAAAACACTGTAAGAAGCTAATCTGACCCTAAGGTAAAGGTAAAGGTTCCCCTTGACAATTTTTGTCCAGTCGTGTTCGACTCTAGGGGGCGGTGCTCATCCCCGTTTCCAAGCCATAGAGCCAGCGTTTTGTCCGAAGACAATCTTCCGTGGTCACATGGCCAGTGCGACTTAGACACGGAACGCTGTTACCTTCCCACCGAAGTGGTCCCTATTTATCTACTTGCATGAAGGAGGTGTCCTTAGCCTGAGGAAGTGGATTTCATCCACAAAAGCTTGCTATTTGATTGATTATAAGTGGTCCCAGAAAAAGTATCTCCCACTCTTGCATTTGTGTAATCTTGGGAATCACATGGCTTTTTCCTTGTTTATTCATAGAGCAGTCATAAGTTGGACTTGATGGTACGTAACAACAACATACCTATGAATACATAAGTAGCATGTGAATAGTCACTTCTTGTTTCATTAGAAAAGCAGTTCTAACACTGCATCATGCAACAGGAGAGAGCTGCTAGGTTATTACCAAAACAGAGTGACACAACACTTCTACACACTATCACAAGCATGTCTTTTGTCACTTGAGGGACAGCTGTCCAAAAACACTGTAAGAAGCTAGTCTGACCCTAAGATTCTTATAAATGCATCTTTGCATCTTGAGGAAAAAAGGGATGCAATGC